CCACTTCATCTCCATCTCCATAATCCCTAAAACTCCAACCGCATGCGAATCGGAATTCAACGATGTCACAAATCCCTTCGACTACATTGCAGATCTCTCTGCCATTGTGATCTCTTGAAGTCTACCGCCGTATGCATCGGTTTTGGAGCATATTGCCCAAAGAAGAGCAATCTCCGAAGATGACAAACGCCGTGAAGCCGTGAAGGAGGTCGGTTGACTGTTCCATGGAAGAGTCGTTTGACCGTGGAAGGAAACATAAAATTACAGGAGGTGAGCCACTAACTACGAATCACCAAGGCAATATAAAAACAAGAGTCGAGCTTACTAGGTATCAAGCGACGGAGAATGTTATAACGATTAAACTTATGACAATTTCCTATAAACTAGAGGGAGTTGGATTATAAAGCCTGGATCTATTTTTAGTCATGAACAATTGTATGTGACATTATCGAGAGTTCAGAGCAAACATAGATGAAAATTTTAATACATGATAAGGATGAAAAATCATTACACACTACTACGAATGTTGTATTCAAAGAGATATTTTCCAAAAATCTCTAACACGTAAGTTAAAAATTTTACTTAAATATTTATTTTATCAATTTACATTTTATGATATTGAATTATTGTGTTCGCTTTTAAGAACAATGCCATTTTTTTAATATTACTTCCTTTTGTAATTAATTAGATCATGATTAGAGATATATTCATCGATTCTTTCCCGTTCGTATGCACGGGTACTGTACTAGTTTTCAGTAAAGAGGATGTATACACAGCGTACAAATAATACGCTTGGTATTTTCAAAAAAAACCAATACGCTTAATACAGCTAGGAGACCAATATCATTGATACATTAAGTGCCTAATTGAAAATTAGAGTCTAATATGACTCTAATTTGGAGATACATTTTAGGACATTAATTTGAAATACATTTAGGACCCATATGGTAACATTGAAATGGACTGATTACATTGAATCTGTTGAAATTTATGAAATGCAGTTATGCAGGCTAGAGTAAATCAATCTGCTGAATTATGAGAATATTACATTGGAATTATGTGGAGTATTTTATTAATAAAATTAAGAAAAATCACATAAAAATAGCTAAACATCTATTATTCGGCAAAATCAGTCATTTCATTTAGAAAAGTGACATCAAGTTTTACTTATTTTAATTTTATTATTATACAATTCAGTGCGTGAATGAAAAAACAGGACATGTTTAGTAAAAAGAAAGATTATAAGCTGAAAATTGGAATTATCAAATGGGCTCTTAGGATGTTTTTACCAAATTCCAGACCAAGTGAAAACATTCTTAGTATCGTCTCGGTAGGAAATAAATGCAATCGATATAGTAAAGTTAGAACGGCTTCCAAATTAAAATTTCACAATAAAACAACTATTCATACATTTTGAAGGGAAATTTACAAAGTCTTTAAATTTCAATTCAAGAAAATTTGTGTCTAATTAACAGAGGTATCAATGTATCATATCACTATTTTTCATATAATATTCATGTTTGTTATTAAAGTTTTTAATGTTTCAATAGCCAAAAGTAAATTAGGGGGAAAGTCAAAATTGACTTTTTGATCACTCATAGAAATATTTATTATGCGGTCCGTTAACGCATGATTGTACTACCCCTCCCCATTTTCCTATAATTACGAGTCTTCCCTCGAAATGTAAGAGACTCTCTTCTTCTCCAAGACCTCCCTTCTCTCTAGATTAGCCTTGAATTCCATTAATGTGAGCCTTTGTACAATGTACACGGTATGAAGAGACTAATAAAAAGAGAGTAGTTTGAACATTTGTCTAAAAAACTGGTGGTTTTCACCCTTTTGATTTCCACATTAGAATCGAGTTCTAATATATTTATTTATACTATTTCATGTTGGATTAGTTTCAACAGTTATTAACCCCACTTCATTAACGTTTGAAATTAAAATATTTACTTTACTAAATATAGTTGCTAAATTAAATAATTTATCCACATAATTATTTAAATAAATTGCCTAATAAAATATTCTATAATAAAGTTAAAACTCCTATTCCTATTTACGGAGTATTTTTTATACGTATAAATAAAATCACGCAAAAGTTACCTAACTTTGATAGATATTTATTAAAGCTAATATGTTTATTTGTATAATTGTATTGTAATTTAGATTGTCTACTAAATTTTATTCAAACCCATTTCATTAACTTTAGAAATATTTAACTTAGAAGTCATATACTCCGTATATAAAATTTATTAAAACTGCGTTATAAATGAGGGTCAAATCAGCCTAAAATAAAAAAATATACACTGATTTTGATCAATATTAAAATTGTTAATTAAGAGTGTTTGAGTAGAAATGGGTTGAAAATTTTGTTGAATTGGAGAGAAGAATGAAATACAACAACAAATATTGTGTATATACAAGTCTTTCATAATATTGAATTTTTCTTTTAAAGCAAATGAATGATATTTTACACATTACTATTTTCATTTTCCTCCACTTTTATTTGAATACTAAAAAATGTGTTCATTAACAGAAAACAAAATAATAATACAAATAAGTTTAAAATTAAAATAATAATAAAACATATACGCAGTACAAACCAAATCTTTAAAATCGTATTCCTCAAAAACATATTAGCAAAGATATTCCCTTATTAAAAATGCTATTGACAAGTTCTGTAAATAATTCATAGTTTCGATTGATAAATTATCACTTTAATTTTTTATATTAATATGACATTACGGGTGTTACACTAGTGTAATCTAATTTTGTGTAATAGTACTACGTAAAATATGAATTTATATTTAATATTCAAATCACTGAATTGAAGACACAAGACAATGCTCTAAAGTGAATTGCAGAATTCTTAAGCAACATATAAGATTTTTTTATTAATAAAAGTTGTAACTTAACCATGAAGTAGAATACCTAGATTGATTTTAAGTTTTAATATAGAAGGAAAAAGATATAGATTTTTGGAATTTTGAAGGAGAGGTTTGACAGAGAAGAGAATAAAATTGAAGAGGAGAATGTAAAAGTGTTAGGGTTCTGGGACTGAGAACAGGTCCAGGGACGACTTGGGGTAGCAGGGGTCCCGATTAAGGTGGTAAGCTGCCTGCTAGGGTTACACCTCTTCTTGCCCGTGGGTGGAAGAGCCCAGTAAGAGCACAGGGGAAGGAGGAAGTCTGTGACATCTCTCTAGGATTAATTATTCTAATGATCGATGATTTTATTAATGTTGAATAAAGAGTATAAATAGGCAGTCTACCTTTACATGATAGAGTTCTACTCTAACTAAAACTGTAACTTCTAATATTTCTATTACTAATAGGAAACAATAAATAAATAAATATAAATAAATAAATAAAATATAAAGATAACATCAAACTGGACTCCTTCTAATTAATTAAAACCCTAAAAATGCATCTGTAACATCACTCCCTCCCTCGACATTGAGTTTGTCCCCATGCTCATATCTTGGATAAGCACCGACTAAAGACTCAACGGCTCCCATGTGGCCTTATCTGGTGTGGGCCATTAAACTACTAATGCCACTTATAGTGTTGGCAGACAACTCCAAGGCTGGGAAGCTATCTTCCTCCTCATCTTCTATCTCGATCAAGAAAAGCTTTTTGCATCGGTGAATCATCGTCCATTGTTCATCACAATTATAGCATAGACCTTTTGCTCGCCTTTCTGCCATTTCATCCTTCGTCAGTCGCTTAACAATGGGATTTCCCGCCTTTGTTGTCATGAGCGCTTGTTTAATATGTGGAGGGCTGCGTTGTTTCATATCTATTGCAGTACCCGAGACTTTTACTAGTGCAAGCGTCAGTGTTTGCCTTACTTCCAATATCCGTGCAAGGTTCATTGCGTAACCCAGGTTACCTGGTTTTGCTATCTCCAATCAGCCCGTAAGTGTGGATGGAGACCGGTGACAAACAACGCAATCTGATGGGTGGACTGTATTTTTGACGTTCTTGCAAGGCCTTCTGAAATTGGGCACAATACTCATCAACTAATCCGATCTGCATCAGAAGTTTCAGGTCTCCAATCGGGTTAGAACTCAAAGGGGGCCCAAAGCGCTCTAGACAGAGTTCTTTAAACCTCTCCCAGTTGGCTTCGCCTACTTCCTCTATCATCTGATCGAACCACAGTTGTGCATTGTCTATCAAGTGGAATGAGAGTTGAGACCATATTCATCTTTGCAACAGTAGGAGTTTCTTGGTTTAAGAAGAATTTTTCGCACCTTTTCAACCAACCGGTAGGGTCATAGGTGCCATCAAACACGGGAAGTTCCATCTTCACATACCGTGGCTTCCAGGATTTCGAGGTGCTGTGTGATATCAAGATGTAATCGGGTGGCTCTTCATGTGTTTCTGTTGATTTGGAATCAAGTTTGTGGCCTGCCAGAGATAGAGCGGTAATCTACCCTTCTATGGCGGTTAGCCATTAGTCATAGCCTCCATAAACTCCTTCATCAGTGGTTAAATCATCTTGCGGTGGCGCCATGGATCTTGACGGCTCTGATACCATATTGTTAGGGTTCTGTGACTGAGAACGGATCCAGGGACGACTTGGGGTAGCAGGGTGCCCGGTTGAGGTGGTAACTTGCCTGCTAGGGTTACACCTCTTCTTGCCGGTGGCTGGAAGAGCGCGGTAAGAGCGCAAGGGAAGGGAAGGGGGGAAGTCTGTGACTTCTCTCTGAGTCTCTGGGATTAATTCTTCTAATGATCGATGGTTTTATTAATGCTGAATAAAGAGTATAAATAGGCAGTTTGCCTTTACATGATAGAGTTCTACTCTATCTAAAACTGTGACTTCTAATACTTCTATTACTAATTACTAATAGGAAAAAATAAATAAAAAAATATAAAGATAACATCAAACTGGACTCCTAATTAATTAAAACCCTAAAAATGCATCCGTAACAAAAAGATCAGCCAAGAAAAGAGAATATGGGAGTAAGAAGAGCAGACTGCTTTTTACTGAAGGGGGTCGTTTGTGGCCGATGGAAGGTGTGCAGATCCCACATTATAATTTGTGATTCAAAAGAGGTTCGAACACGATAAAATAAATATTTAAGGTGCTGGTTTACCTTGTTTTGGAGTTCACTTATCTACTTGGAACCAGAACTTAGGTATACACAATCTTAAAATAGAGAAAGTACAATTCCACTATTGACATGCTAAAAGGTATTGTCTTCTCAGACACGCCAGTTTCCAAGTTCAAATACATCATGTGATATGCAGATGATTCTCCCTGTTCGTACACAGATTAATTCTTAAAGGTTAAAATGGCTAGTTGGCAGCTTCAACCTTTTTTAAGCGATTTGAGTACAAGCTGGAGTATGAAAGTGCCTTCCCCTTAATAGGGTGATCAAAGACTATACCAGTCACCAGAGAGCATTTGCAGCAAAAGGTAAAGGAGATCAGATATTAGAGTTTTCATTCTTCAAAGAAGTATGGTGGTTCCCATTAGCACTGCATGTTGGAGTTCCGGCAGTGGAATTTGATGAGCAGCTGCTCTCGTCTTGAAAATTAGCCGGATCAGCATAAGAAAGGTACCCCGGAAACCTATAAGATTGAAATATTTGGTCAAGATTCAACTAACAACTTTTTACTTTTGCACTTATTTGTAAGTTTTGCTTATAAAATTACACGACCCAATAGCTCCATTTTATGATATACTCCCTCCGTCTCACTAAGATTGTCTCATCTTTCCTTTTCGTTCCGTCCCACTAAGATTGTCCCATACCAAATTTGGTAAAGTTTATGTGGTTTTAAATCATTCTTACTTTATTCTTACTTTATCGATTCATCATCAATATAAACCACATAAACTCACTTTTGTTAATAACCGCAACGCCTCCTCGTCTAACGATGTTAGTGGGATAGAGGTAGTATGACTTTTTGGGACAACAAACCCTTTTGACTTTTTCAGACCGGGGGGAGCACACAACAACGAGGAAAAAACTGTAATACCTGCTTACTTTGATTGGCTCTCCATCTATAGTCATTTTGACATCAAAAATATTTCCTGTGACAATTGTTGGTGAACTCAGTTATGAATCATGAGGAGAAAATGAAAACGAACCCGCAAAGAACGTCATAACAAGGTCCAAATGCATGAATAAACCAAAGGGGTGTTTGGATCTAAATATTGCAGCTGATGTTCCTCCAAAGACCACTTAAACAGAGATGATGAAAGCACCATTATACGGGCAGTATCAAATGAGAATACAGTTATGTATGAGATGACTTTTCAAGTAGAGCTTTCAGTTGTTGATCTTTCTTGGTCGACCTATTACTAAGGTTGGGTTGGTTTCTATATTACGCAATACATTTTTAAAAGTGTAAGAAGCTTTTTATTTAAAACTTGTTTTTTACATGTTTGGTAAAAATCAAGAATAATAATTCAATTTTTTTTAAACACGATTTTATTCAATAAATAAAGTAAAAATTACAGTGCAAGAAGAAAAATAAAAGAAGAAGAAAAAGGTAAAAAAGTACAGAAAAGAGAGGAAAAATACATAAAGAAAAAAATACAAGAATAATAATTCAAATAAAAAGCTATTTTGTCTTTTTAATGAAGACCAAAATTTGGACTTTTTACAAAGAAGCTCATATAAGCTTATAATATTTCTTTTTAAAGCATAATGCTGCACAATTGTACTTCATAACTTTTTGTTTAAAAACACTATTAAGTATTAAGTGTAACACTTAAAAGATGTACTGCAACAATCGTGAGAAAAGTAATACTAGAAATGGTATAAATGGATCCTTTATTGAAAAACTATATTTGTTCAGGATTATTATAAAACCATGCTTATGTAAGTAATTGCATGTCTAAATAAAATGATTATTCAAACTTCTTTGGAAAAACACAAAATTGAACTTCTCTCCAAAGGCATAAAAGAGATTTTAGAATTTAGGTTATAAACCTATTCCATGGTTACCAAAAAAGTTGGAATTGAGCAAAAAGAGCTTATCTAAATAGAAGAATTCTTATGGTAAACAGAAAAGTCAAGCCAAACACAATCTCAGGGAGGGGCTCCTCATTGGCTCATTCTACAAGTCATTTGTCATGTAGCAGATTCCCATTTGAAAGCAAACAGTCCCATACACAACATTCTACCCACATGCAATAAAGATTTCAGCTAATCTAATATTAACATAAGCTAATTCAGTTAATATAATATTACCATAACCTTCTATACAATGAGCCATACTAGTTAATCACAAGGTTTGAAGTGTCAACGTAATACAGTAAAAGATTCATGGAAGTTTGAAATATAGGAGATGAACAAAAATGAACAATCAATATTGTGTTGAAATGGTTGGACCGGTGGTTAAACCGTGGGATTGGCACTACGTACGCAGAGTACTCCCGTGCAGCAGGAACAGTGTAAGTATGGGTAAGTTTTGTGTAACTTCTTGTACAAAAGTGTTTGGTGTAACTCATGTTATGCTTTTGTGTAACTCATGCTATACTTTTATGAAAATACCGTTATAAAAAGTGCAAATACATATGAACAATGTGTACGAGGTATTAATATGAATAGTGTATATTTGGTGTAATTGAGATATATTACATGAAAAAATTACACAAATATAACTACTTTAAACTCCACTAACAAAAATATGACTTTTTGCTCTAACTTAATCCCATGATGCCCATACGTGATCCATGCTATAAGTCACTTTCTTGTAACTCCCATGACTTTTGATCATATTCATGTAAAAATCTCATATTACATTGTATATGATATTATAAAAGTTATGAAAAAAACTTGTAAATGTAATACGGAGTAATATCTATAGATATAGTCAAACGGTTGGTGTAAATGACCTTATACAAAATGTAAACTCTGTGGGTTATACATGCAAGTGACTTTATAAAAAAAAATGTAAATTGCGAGTGTCAAATATGTAAATGATATTAGACAAAATGTAAGCTGCGTGTGTCAAATATGTAAATCTGGTACATTTTTGTGCAAGTGTAATACTGCTTGTTGATATAAAACTTAAATTTTGGGTGTAAATGATTTTATAAAATAATAGAAAAGAATGAAAACAACGTGTGAAAAGTATGACATACTTTTGTGCAAATGTACATTATTCACTAATACAAAAGTTATCGTTGGTGTAAATGATTTGATAAAAATGTAAAATTGCATAAAAAATGATTTTATGTAACTTATGGAACACGATGGATTTTAGTGTTGGATTAAATATTTAAATGCAAATCAAACGAACAAAAAATATAAGGCAGAGCTCGAAGAAAAGTTGCAGATTCGTCAAATACAAATATGACTTTTTGTTTTAGATTAATAAAACTTTAGTTATGAATGGATAAAGAAAAAGACTAGATTTATTCGTAATTTAGGTTGAAGATGAAGAAGAGGAAAATCGTGGGTTTATTTTTAGTTTTTTTATGGAGATGGAGAAGAGAATTGAGTAGAAAATACAGAGAAGAAGAAACCAGAAAATTTGATGAAGGAGACGACCAACAGACCGGCGGAGAAGAAATAGGTTGTGCAGGTGTAACGATCCCAAGGTATAATTTGATGGTTGGACCTTATAAATTTTACCTCCAAAGATAGTCTTGTCTGAAAAGTACTTGGACATTAAATATTGGGTGCATTCAGCTTCATATCTCTTGAACTTCTCATTTTGTGCCTCTTCTAAGAGCCTGAATGAAAATGCCAAGGCAGCTACATACTTTAGAAACTCCCTATAATATTCACCGCGGCAGCATCTTGTAGACAAGAACATTATAAATTTCAAATGCTGGAAGTATATCATATCATAAATGACTTTATTTCCAGGACTCACCCAGGGTGCAAAATGAATATGACTACGGAAATGAAGAGATAAATCTAAATCACCTATCACCTATATCTATATTAGAGTGTCTGTACATCTAAGGGATATACTTCCTCCGTAACAAAAAAATCTTCCCACTTTCCTTTTTCGTCCGTAACAAAAAAATCTTCCCATCATACCCCCAATAATTCTTAAAATAATACACTATTACAACTACTTTTTTGGATTTATCCTACATTTCATCACATTATTCAACTATCTTCCCATCATACCCTCAATAATTCATATCATCTTTCACTATTCTTATTCTACCTACTTTTGAAATGGGAAGGTTTTTAAGTTACAGAGGTAGTAATAAAGTAAAATAGGAGTAATTAGCATATATCAACTGAAAAAGTAAGGGGATAACAAGGACTTCCTAAGCAATCTCATAGTGGTTTTATCTAGTGCAGCATATGGCCTACTTTTACAAGCGACTCTCAAAGTAAGCAACTAAGCACACACCAAACAAACTACAACCCCAAGCCTTTGCAAGAATAATCAATAGTCTAAACCTTGAACAGATATATATATATATATATATATATATATATATAAATTTCCATCTATATTGTCATGGTGTCATGGAGATACTTCAACTGTTGACCATACTACATGTCTACATATCCACTAAGAGATAACAGGCACTAACACACAATTGATTAAGATGTAAACAGAAAGTCCCACCCAGTAATTAAGTACTTATGCAAAAGCCAAAAGGTATGACTTGTTAGTGTTTATAACACCAAATGAATGGCTGCTAGGTGAATAGGAATATCTTAATCATATGCAAAAAAGAGAATAAAGAATGACTTCCGTAAAAGGATACCATTTACAGAAAGGGATGTGAAGATCCATTTACGTGCATATTCCTTTCCACAAATAATTACTTCCTCCGTAACATTTATATCTTCCCACTTTCCTTTTTCGGCCGTAAAATTCATATCTTCCAATTTCTAAATCTTCCCGTCATACCCTCAATAATTTTGAAAATAATACACTATTACAACTACTTTTTCTGGATTTATCCTTCATTCCAGCACACTATTTCATTATCTTCGCATCATATCCTCAATAACTTATATCCCTTTTCACTATTCTTAATCTCACCTACTTTTAAACGGGAAGATATAAATGTTACGGAGGTAGTAAGTTATATGTAGTAGCTATTGATAACAGTGCTTCTCTCCACAATACAATGCAGCATGCGAAAGAAAAAACCCTTTCCGTATATGGAAACCGCCACAATTTTATCCCCTTTGCCTTCCTTCCATTTTTGTTTAGATAAAGGATAAAACGTTTATGGAAACTGACTGACAAATAGAGCAAAAAGAAGGAAAATGGAGTGATACAAAATATTACAGATTCTTTGCCTTTGGAAATCCAAGCAGATTATACAAAAACTGTGTGCAAATTAACACAAAACAAGCTATGAAAAGGTGGAAATCAACCAAATTTAGAGAAATAAGGAATTAAATATCGCAACTGAAACACTGACCAGACCAGAAATATTCAAAATGCATAAAAGATCAGCATATATTTTCTTACTCAATGGGGCTCCTTTTCAACGTTTTCTCTTCAGGCACTTTCTTCTCCTTGACCTCTTCTTTCGCATTGGCACTCGTCACCTCCTACACATACAAAGACCGTATCAGGCTACCACCCCATAACTGTGAGTACCCACTGGGGAGATTCGGGAACCTGTTCTTCTTTGGGTCGCATAGTGGGAGCTTGAGCAACAGACGAAGCGGCAGAGTTTGATAGTGAATTGGAGGACGATTCCATAGAAGGCGACTAGAAAGCAGCTGCGAGAGTGTGCTGGACTGTGACCATTCGAGGGTGGCAGATCAGAGAAGCAGAAATTGAGTTTGCATTCATCTCTCTTTTTGAGAAATTTTCTACTTCTGATAAGTGAATTGGGATTCTCAATAGGAGACGAATTGGACAGCGAACCACTGTCAAAGAAATTATTTCAATTGGACTGAAAAAAAAATGAGGATATTTTTAGTATGACTAAATTTTTTAGGAAAAATTGATAGGAATAATCCCAACTATTGGTGGTCCGCCCATAATAATCCCAACTATCGATTACTTTAGAATAATCCCAACTTTAGGGACCTTCCGCCAATAGTGGTCCATATAAATAAATTCATGTAATTTCTAAAGTGGATGAAGAGTGATATAGCAAGTAATCCCTATAAATAATCTCAACTTTTAATTTTTACACTTAATTTCTATTTAAAATTCACTTTTTATAGGAGGTAATATATGACCATGGACCATTATTGGCGGACGATCCATATAGTTGGGATTATACAAAAATAATCAATAGTTGGGATTATTATCAGCGGACCGGCAATAGTTGGGATTATTATTTTCAATTTTTCCAATTTTTTATGAAATAATTACATAAATATGATCAAAATAAAGATGATTTATAAAAATATGACTCATTACTAGAGTAGTAATGAAATCATAGTAATTCATGTTCAAGTTTTGAACTTAAGTTACTACAATACTACGTTGTCGTAATGAATAGTCATATTTATGTAAATAAGTTTTATTTTAGTAATATTCTTGTAAAAAACTCTTTATGAGACTTAAATGATCCTATTAAAAGTATGCAATTAGTAGTGATTGGGCCATATTATAGATAAAAATTTATGATAATTCTATTTGTGCATTTATATTTTAATTCTATTTAAGGAATTTTCTCTTTTTTCAAACTACTATCTAGAAGCAAAGAAGAGGGTTTGAATGAAACTAAGGATATGGTTGAAAGATTAAATTCAATTTGGAGGCTATTATATTTATATTCATATTCATATTCATATTCATATTCATATTCATATTCATATTCATATTCATATTCATATTCATATTCATATTCATACTAGATTTTCACACGTGTGATGCACGGAACATAAATTAAATAATAATAACAATATGTTATGATTTGTTAATATTGTTAGTTGATGTATTATTAAAAGTTATATAGATAGAGTAATATATATTGGTAAAATGTATCAAAAAGAGATGTAATATATAATAAATATTATAATTAAAGAAAAGAAAGCTAGAACTAGTGCGAAGTATGAATTGAAATAAGAAGAAATAAGTATTATAATGAGGTTGCACTAGTCTACATATTTTGAAACATTTATTTGTAAATATTGGTGTGACTGACTTCGTCATTTTTAACACAAATCAATATTTGAAAACCCACACAATTTCCAACTCTCGAGTTTAAAATTTGAAGGTGACCCACCTTTATTGATACTTTTATCTATCCTTTCTCTTATTGACGTGAACGAAAACATGTTAGGTTATGAGTGAATACATTCTTGAAAATGTTTGCAGGTTGCATTTTTGCCAATAATCAACCGTTGCAATATCAATTGAGACTCCTTTATTATCTAATCGTTGCTTGTTTTTTGTGTGAGATCCTAATAAATCTAATTAAAATCAATTATAAATTTATTTTTAAAAGTTTTGTAAGAAATTATAAATTATCCTAAGAAATTCTCTATAATAGACATTATAAATTGTGTAACGATATACATTATAAATTAGCAAAATTTGAAAATATTAGGGGCCGTTTGGCGACACTGTTTTTCGGCTTATCAGGTTTATCAGACAACTTTTTCACCAAACACGTAACTTTTGTTTTCGCGCGCTGAATTGTGTAATAAGCAGAACAAGTAAGATTAGAATTACTTTTCTGGCTGTATTGGTTGAAGTTACGGTAGTTGTCCATTTTAGCTATTTTTAGAAATAATTTTTTCTTTATTTTATTAATAAAATATATTTTAAAAAATACTTTTTTCTTAAATTAGCAGAATTAGCCAATGCAGCCATAACTTCATAAATTTTAGCAGAATCAGCCAAATCAGCTGATTTTCGCGCTACCAAACGGACTCTTAATCTCAATTTATTGTCGTTCCACTCACAATAATCTCAATTATTAATTATTTAAGTAAAATCCTTACTTATAAAGCGTTTACCAATAATGGTTCATGACCGGATATAACCTAAGCGTATTCTATAAATAATCTAAACTATTTCCGTTCTTATTTTAATAATCTCAACAATAAACTCGATTTTGTTTACAAAAAGTAAAAAAAATTATTTAAATTTCAAATTCCAAATTTTATAAACAAGAAAGTTTACCTAAATCAAAAAAACTTATTGCGTTTCAAAAATAAAAAATATTACTCCCTTCGTCCCAATTTGTTTTGCAAAGTCAACATTTTTTGATCAACCAATAATAAAAGTCAACCCTCCTTATGCATAATTAATTCAATTTTTAATAAATAAAATTTACATATTCATAAACTACATCAAAATCTCTTCAAAGTTGTAAACTCCAAACTAGAATATAATTAAAAATTGGCATCCTAATTAAGTGAACAAAACGTAACTATTTGACCAAGAAAAGTCAAATTTGCAAATCAATTCGGGACGAAGGTAGTAATTTTTTGTTCCGAAAATTATAAAAGTATAATATTTGGTAAATAATTTTTTTTGGACTATTTTATAAATTCACGATAAATTTTTTAATATTTAGAAAAAAGTATTACTCCCTTCATCCCATTTTACCTGTCTTACTTTTCTTTTTACATTGTCAAATTCCAGCTTACAATACCCGTTTCCCAAGATTAGCACTAGCAAAACTAAGACGCGATAACACCTCTCGCCGACAAAAAAAACTTTGCCGCAACCCAAACTTACCCTAGATGACACTAGGCAGTCATGGACCCGAGCCGGGCCGGGCCCGGCATTGGGAAGGAAGGCCCGAGACCGGCCCGAGTAGCCACCGGGTCCGGGCCGGGCCGGGCCTCCGGTTTGGTTAATTTTTTTTTGCTTTCCTAACCACCCCCTCACCCCCCCCCCCCTCCCCAAAACCCTCCTAACCATCAAGCCCAACCCGGGTGTATCCCAAAAAATGAAAAAAAAAATCAATTAGGACCGGACCCAGGCCCGACCCGGCCGGTTCGCCAAATACAAGGCCGGAGCCCGGACCCACCCCCCCACTGGGCCTAGGCCCGACCCGGACCCGAGAACCGGGCTAGTTCCGGTCCCACACAGTAGCAGGCCGGGCCGGTCCCGAGCCGGGCGGCCCGAACCGGGTCCATGACTAACACTAGGCCTTGCCACCGGTTGAATCTATTCCATATTGATTGCAAAGTGAAGAAATACTTCTGAGTGCTCCAAAATGCTCCTAGAAACACTTTTTCAAAAGTTGGGGTTATGAGACCCGTATTTGAAAACTGATTCTGATTCTACTTCTGCTTTTTAAAAAGGGAACAATATCAATTCCAAAGACGCCTAATGAGTTAACCAAAGTTTGTTTACATATAGTTAATCGTTTGAGATGCTCGATTGCAACTTGTGGTGGATGTCTGTCAAAGGTTAGGGTTATGTTCTGCTGATACAGAGACGTGAGGTGAGGGATAAATTGACAAATATTTTGACGTAGTTTGAATAGTCCATCTGTCCATGACTCCATGGTTGAAATGATAGATGTTAACTAGAACATTTTTAGAAAGAAGAGAGGCAATCTTTGATCAAGATGAGTAAGGGATTTCCATGAGCAGCGGCAGCTTCCCATCTCTCAAACAAGATTCCGTCCATGCGGGCTTGGACTCCGCCTGAAGATGCCGCCGCCATCTCGCTAAGCAATGCTTTTATGCTCCTGTCGGCTCCAGCTATACTGTCTCCTACCCCACTCAATATTTCTGGCAATGATGGAGAAGGCCTTGACATCTCAACAACATCAACCTTCACTCCCAAAAACAAAAACAAAAACAAAAACATATTTTAGCTAAGCAAATATGATCAGAGAGATGTTTAAGCCAAAAACAAGTAGATTACCAAACATGCTCTTAATATAAAAAATAAATCCATGGCACGGCCTCATGATGACAAAGTAATTCTTTTGCAATTGGCATGCTCGACACTGTTACAAAGTTCCTAAAGTGTCACTAGTTATATACAGCTCAAAATAAAACCCTTCGTAACTACGTACTGCAAGGTGAATGATAGGATCTCAAATTTTGTAACAGTAATTTGAACAGTAATATTGCGGTAACTTGCAGAAACGAGGAAGACGATACAAAATGAGGCACTTCGAGAGGCACTCGACTCTCCAGAACCCAATTTCCCAATTCTAAAATCTGCCTAACGACCTTCTTCTCCCCTTCTCAATCTTATAGTTATTATATCCTAACGGGCCAGCCCACATTTTAAGACATGGCCCAGGATTCTTATTTAAACAATACCATACTTATTTAATATCAAACTATAACTACTATTATTATTCTCTATAGGCCCTATCATATCTCCCCCCCTTGAAAAACCACCTTGTCCTCAAGGTGGGTGATAGGACAAAGCCTTGATCTTCAACTTCATCTTCATCCGAGCACCTCTTCCTTCCCAGTAGCTAACTGATGGCGGAACCATGAGCTTGCTTGCCTGGAAAACACACTGATTTTCGGGATCTTTGTAATTGTTGTGTTCCTCATGATCAGATGGTTCTGTTTGATTTTTCTTTCAATATCCTTCTCTGGATGCGCTGGCTGCGAATTGATCAAACTGCCAATGCTGCTAGTCATTAAAATAATGTGTCCGCCTCTGGTTAAGCACCAAGAAAGTTCTTCCTCACTTTCATATGAGATTCCACCTTCTGGTTTCAGAGTGCTTTGATGAAGACCCACAGATGCCTTAGTAGAAAAGACCAGAGATCTTTAGCTAGAGGGGCTGTACATTAGAAACAAAACCGAGGGCGAACCAATATCAAACAGAGCAACCTGGCAGCTTTCAAGCCCCATAACCCATTTGGAATGGACTTATTTAGTTCTATTAAAAGAATAAAAGAATAAAAACCTCACTAAATAGGGGAGTGCATCAGTCCTATTTCATGAAGAAAACAATGTTACTCCTATTTGAGAAAATCTATCACGTTCTG